TTGATAGTATTCCTTTTCAAAGAGAAAAGTGTCAGTTGAGTTGCCTTCCATTAATCATGTTAAAATTTAGTGACTGAATGAATAGTTGTTTTATGTTATTGACAGCAACTGTACAGCTGCATCCTAAGAGACTGTAAACCATCAAGCCTCACTTAGAACATATATTATCATCACTTGTCTAAGAATCTAACTCTATAAAAGTATAAAAACCCATACAAGTTGGTATGCTGACATGTATGGATGTCATAAAGTCGTTTAGTGGTCCTTACAGGTGTTACTAATGGTTTCATTCAACTGTTAAACTCCTTTACAGCCAACTAGTGACTGACCTAACTAATATTGCTATCATTACATGTACCTTTTCAGTCGTTTTTCACTTAAATACCGATATTGTATTTATGCCACAGGAGTAATCAACATTCAGTCCCTTAAATTCCAGGATACATTTGCTCACAAAATATTCTTCAACCTCTTCAAAGATTTTATCTAATATTAATTATCATACAACCAACAGACAACCCCAACATTTTCAGGGTGCTTCAGTGAACTGGCTCTGTGTTCAAAACTGAGGCTCCAAAACTGATATTTTCTAATCTTATGTTACATGCTTACTTATTGATGACACTATGTTCTGAAGTGCTTATATAATATAACACAATCCACATGATTCTTTATATGCATAGTCTATCAATCATGTTTGATATCCGACTTTGAACTACAGGGGTCAGTTGCTGTCAGCTTGGTAATTTTATAATAACGAGCTACATAATCAGTAGTCAGCTCCAGTTAAAAGAATGTGGGGACACGGCATGTTCAGAATGTGTTCCTTCAGCACATTGTCATGAACAAGTTCAAACCCCAGTGATCACAACCCATTCATTTTGTAATGTTGAACATGTATCAGGAGTCTCTAGTTTTAGTGGTTTATCTCCCTTGGACTACTTCTTTCCTCGTTAAATCCGCTGTACATAGACATTCAGAAAAAAGATTTGTCAAAATAGTTCTAAAATATCCATCACAAAATGCATGGCAAGCCAGTTATAGATTATTACAAATCATAAATATATGAAGGATCTATATGAAATACAACAACAGGTCACCTGCAGCCCCTAGAGGGCCGAGATGCTGGGATTATCCAGTCATTCATGGTTCATTACAGAAAATATTAGCTCAATCACCTTGTTGATTGCATAGGGCCTCTAACTGCCCTGCCTGGTTATAATGCCACCCTGGATATAATGCCATATTTTCTCATGGACATATGGTGGCATTATAACCAGGGTATACTGTATTTAAATTCTATGAAAGACAACAGAGTTTAGAAATGACCACACATATGTAAAGAAATACAAACCTAGTTTGTGCAAAAACGTGGTTCTCTAGCCTGATTTTGTCTCTTTGTATCATTTTTGGTAGATCTTAGTGCTCACATATGGACTATTATTAGTTGAACCCACCAAACCAATGCTTTTCTAAATTCCGGATTGAGAGTAATGGCTGAAGTCGCAGACAGCCTACCAATAGTACAAAGTGACAGTTCCTCTTAAACTGCCACTTTACCATTAGGTAGATAGCAACTCTGTGGTAGATTATATTTGCAGACAAGTGAAAATATAAATTACACTCTAACCCTGAAAACAGTTTTCAAAAATACTCAAATACATAACTTGTTGATTACCTTGTTGACAAAAGTTGGAAATTCATAACCTGACAGACAGGAAAGGGTATTTGAGTTAACATGGTAAATACTATACATGTGACATGTTTATTAAAGGAGATACGGTACAGAAACAACAATTTCCAATACTGATAAAACAGTATATAACACTGGTCTGCTGCAATGCAAATCTTCCTGATTGCAACCACACGAAACAAGTTCTATTTCCTGTTTATCACCAGGGTTTTCCAACGTTTGCTTTTTTAAAAATATCACAGAAGCATGTGTTCTAAACAAACAGCAAAACAAAAACAGAGACAGCTACTGTAACAATGTAACCAAACTAATCTGAGATGTCAATGCAATTGCAAAGGAGCTCCAATAGATGCCAAGTAAATAAAACAATCTCACAATGTATAAACCAACCTGTACAAATATTATGTCAATGTTGTTATAAAACACTATGCCAGAAGCCAGAAATGTACATAGCAGCTGGCACATACTGATATGGGATCTACTTATAGAAGTTAGTGATGAAAAACACCTAGCAGGAGGGATACACTCCTCTTTACACTAAATCACAGAAGACTGTACGCAATCTAAATTGCCGACTCATTCAAAGCAGGGATACTGCTGAAGACAACTAGTCTTACAATAATTCTCAATAATGTCTTTTAATGTCATTCAGTATGTTTTTCTTTTTGAAAGAATTTCAATTGAGAGTCCTTACTAGAATTCAGAATTCACACCAATGAGTATAGACTTATAGTTATGGATAACAACTTCTTTGTTATACATAAACAATGTTTAAGGGCTATTTCTTGCCCTTTCATTAAATCAAACATTGTGTATGCATGATAATATAATAAAGAAGTTATTATCCATTAAGCTACTCATTGTCACAGTATCAGCTGATTAGGATATGTTCTAAATGCTTCGACCATAGACTAGTCTGGGGGCATAATAATCATACCATAAAGTAGTACCATATTTTAACTGGAATCATAAACTTGCCTATGTCATAAACTGACAGTAGACATCTGGTTATGTATTGACAGTCATAGTGACTGATAAACTTAACCTGTCTTGGAGTATATGTAAAGTCCTGACATGAAATCATAACACTTGCCAACTATGTCACAATACCGGTACCATTGACAGTTGACAGTTATCAGAACTGGCTTGTTTTTCTTACAATACTGATATATATTTCAGTTCAACAGAAGTTTTGAACTATTTGTTCATATAGCATAAATGACAATAAAGGTTAAGGAAGAGTTAGGACAGATTATGAATTCTAAAAGAAATCATGAACCCTGAGAATATCAACCTTTTGTAATCGTAGATGACATTCAATTCATATCAAATAGTTGATGAATTACTTTGTATGACTGTAAAATGGAATTGATCAAAAGGACGAAAAAAAATCAGGATAAGTTGCTAAACTCTTACTATTGTTCCCGGACACTGTTATAACCATTTGAGTGATCCTATGTATCTTAGATCTGTTTTAGCTGAATGGATGGAATGTGTACAAACATTTGACTTGGATCATCTTGTCTTCACTATCTAACAAGTATCAAAAGCATAAATATGGAATATTATTAGTCAAGTGGATACGCATATATACTTTTCATTAAAGTAAGTTGTTACTTTCTGTATATATCTCTTAGTTTAATGGAAAATTAATCCTTATCAGAATTATTCTTGAAAAACATAATTAAAGCTAGACAAAAATTTGTATCATAATGTAGAAGTCATAGATGAAAACTTCGAAAACGTTCCAGGTTTATGATTGCAAATTTGTCCACAAGCATGTTCTAAATCACCCGATAATGGGACAAGATACTGCGATGAAATGTCATCACAAAGAATACAGAGGCTGATATCCAATGTGTCAAGTATTCATGTTCTTCCCACTTCTTGATGCATATTAAAGAGATGATCCAAGAATTCCCTGTAGATATAAGGGAAACAACAAAGAGTTTAAAAGGCTAAGGGAAATGTACCATTTACAACTATCAAGGTCTATGACACCACCTATAAAACCTCAGGCTTAAAACTGTATTTCTTTCTCTATGTTTATCCTTTACTATTTTACAAATATCAATGAAATGACACTATGCATCCTGTAATTCAAACAAAACAAAATGAATATGTATAGTTAACATTGTACGACATTTGCAGTGTTGATTGTGTAAAAGAATGTTAACGCTATGATCATCGTAAGTCTATGTAAAGGCATGAGAGTTACAATCACTGCACACCACAATTGGGCTTATCGAGCAGGCAGTAATATTTCAAAACGTTTGTGGCCTCCCTTAAAATTTTTATATCACAGAATGTCCAGTTGATCAAAGTTTGAAGCACTGTAATTTATCAATTTTCAACTTTATTTTTCCTCTCCAAATAAAGAACCTCCAATCAACATAGAATGATCTGAGACATATATAAAGTGTAAAAAGTCACATTCATTGTCATACTGTTATCAACACTTTTAAAAGTTTGCACAATTTCAATGTAATTGATAATCATATAAATTTGTGTGCCATTGATTAGCATAATTATGTCTTCATTCATGCAAACTAAATTCCTGGTTACTTTCATGGTTTGTTTCATCAATGAAAAGACAACAAAGCTACTGACATTGTCTCGGTTTTCATACTGCCTCTCTAGTTAGTTTACCACCTAATATTACTGCAGCCATGAACAAAATTAAAATGGCATAATTTGCAACATTTTTCACATCAACACCTATTTGTTTGTAACCGGATTGCTTTACGACGCAAATGCCAAGGTCGGGGTGAATTGGCCATGGCCTTATTTTGTTCTGATAGCGGTGTAAGAGTAAGGCGGGAGTTTGCATTTCCCCTTTGGCAGACGACGTTAGTTGTAAACAGAAACGATTTCAGACAGATAACAAAATCGGCAAATGCACTGTTAAACACCCATTCATATTACTGACAAGCATACCTACCCATTCGTTACTCTTAGAACTAAACGAATATAACGCAACTTGCGACGCAGTGTCTGCTATTTCAGTAATATATGGATCTCGCTGCTGCAGAGTCGCTAGGTTCATTCGACTTTCCGCCATGTTTTCAGTCTCAGTGCAGCTGCGCGCTGAAAACAGTTCCGGGCTGAAGGCGAAAGCCTTTTTTTGCTTGCCACATAAACATTAAAATATTTGCAGAAATAAAATCATTTGTAGGGTGTAATATCATCCCTTAAATTGAAGAAACCCAGATCAATATTTATTGGCTTATCTATAGTCCTGTTATATTTGTACGATAAAATATTCTACATAAATATTTTTGCAAGAATTTCAATTTTAATTGGCAACATATGCAAAAATTCTGTATTTTTGCCGATGTTTCCCTACACATGTCAAATTTTGAGTGGATTTTATGGTGTCTATTGACCGTGGTTTTGAAAAGGTCTGAAAACCAAAGAATGGTACCGATCAGAAAGCCCCGGATGAAAATGCGATATTTGTAGGTTTACCAGAAAAATGGAGGAAACCAAGAGATAGGGCCAAATATTTTGTTTGGAACGACAGATTCCCGTGGTTCCTCACAATGGCCTCTGCGGCATCAGGTACTTGTTTTCTTTTTAAGAATATCTGCTTTATTCTATCGTATATTGTGTTATCTTCTATAAATTAGAAGCGGAAATGTTTCGGCTGCTGATGCAGATTCTGACGAAAAACATGGCAGCGTAGAATTTTCTCCATGTTCCTCAAGAATTTCTTTTGGGGTAGTGGATTCATGCATCCGTGCCCGACCACCACTCTTACATGCTTAAACGTATTTATTTGCAACATATAGCGTATCTAAAGCATTGATTACGGGAGCCGAGTGTTGGCGATTGTGACAGCGAACGACACAAGGACATTTTGTCATAATTCGTGTTACCAGGCAGACATAATAACCAAAATCGCAGAGTCAGTTGCAATCTCAGTGTTTTCACAAGATGCATACAGTCGGCTATATTTTAATGTAACTACAGGTTAGCGTAACATACTTTGATTGAAATATAGCCGTATGTTATTCATTATAGATCGATAGCTGAACAATTATTCATTGTTTATAAGACGTAACGAAAAATTATGTCGACTGTGTTTTCACTCGAATCCAGATCAGTATTTGTTAAAAAAAGGTTTTGCAGAACGCTAGTTGCAAACAGAGAATACATCCTTCATCATCTGCAATATCATCTCCTTGATGGTAGGATTTGTTGACTGGTTTATTTTTGTATTTAATATTTCATTTGGTTTCATTTTGAATTCACCTTGTTCATGTTATTTAGAAAATATTACAGTGAAAAAAGAGTTTAACACAGTTATTTGTCAAATTGTTTTGGTCATGATTAACAAAATAATACAAACTGGTCTTAATTTCTACAACTTCAGGTGATAAAAAGGTTTATATCATAGCTTGTAACCATTACATAATGCAATATAGCTCATGTATGCAGCAATTTAAATATTGCTTGATGCTTGCATTGAGATGACCTTAATGCAGGTATTGAGATGCATTATTTTACACTGTGTTATAGCTCCTTAGGAAACATGCTGTCACTTCCTTGTGCCCCCAATCATGTCATGGGGGAACTTTGTTTGCTTTTAGATTACATGATAACAGTAATGATAACGGTCTAAATGTTGATTGCGTCATGTGTTTTTCTGGAAGCTACACATTAAATGAGACTTTCAAGCAAAGTCCATGGAATTATTTAACATTAATGTTTAATCGACAAATCAATAGTCAGAGATGATATATTTAGTCAACTTGAGAGCTTGTGTCACCTAAAGTACATCAAACTGGAGGCTGAAATTTGAGTGAGTGATTTTAGTAGGTTTGCACCACACTCAGCAATATTCCAGCTATATGGCATTGGTCTGTAAATAATTGCATATGGACCAGACAGTCCAGTGATCAACAGCATGAGCATCAGTCTACCCAAAAGGGATATGATGACTTTTGTCAGCCAAGTCAGCAAGTCTGACCACCCGATCCCGTTAGTCGCCTCTTACGACAAGCATGGGTTCAATTCTAACCCGGATCTTCACAGGTTCTGAAATTTGAGGAGGATACATGTTTGTTGATATTCTAATGTTGAAGGGGTGGTTGGGTAGCCTTAAGAAAACAGTTCGCTCTACCACATTGTATAGTGTAATAAAGCACAATTTTGCCCTGAACTATTATAGTTAAAGTACGTGGACGCTTGCGTCCGAGTGCTTTAACGTTATAATAGTTCAGGGTGAAAGTGTGCTTTATTACACTATACATGGTGGTAGAGCGAACTGTATTTCTTTTCTAAGATGCCAAATTTAATACTTTCTAAGGATAATTACGATTACTTTTAAGGCAGAAAACAAACGACAATGTCGGTGACCTAAATTAAGAATGCTCGCACAGGGCTAACTGGCGCGCTGTTCTATTGATGTGTCTGCCCCCCTATGTTAAGACGAAAGTTACCAGAAAAAAACAAATGATAACAGTTTGATGACGGTTTACGTTCGGATTAAATATCTTCTCTGCATTATGTTAATTACATCTGTCATTAACGTAAACCATATTGGGCAATATGAACGTAGCATTTCTACTATCAGTTTAGATCAGTACATCCAGATGAAGCTGAGTAGTCAAGCCACATTCACAATTGCATAGTGGGAATGTAAACATTGCGAACATTACCGTGTCGCTGAAAACTTGTGAGCCGAATTGATACATTTTAACCGTCGAAAAACATAAACGTAATGTTTCCACCAGTGTTGTTAGCTGCGTGAAGCAACTGCAAACCAAGAAACGTGATGCAATGGAGTAGTTTACTGTAGTAGGCCGTACGAGGCGATGACAACTGACATGCATCGTGATGTCGCTTACATTGTGATGTAATGTAAAATGGTTCCATTACGAGGGGGCACACTAGAATGGCGCAGTGACAGGATAACATCATTCAATTGCTACGTCATCAAAAAACTATACCTTTATTGTCTGATAATGTTTTTTTTTCGATTGTTCTAACCGCTAGGCATCTTAGAATGGTGGTTAATGTGTTAGCTCCTCACGCTGAAGACTCAGGTTTGATTCCCCACATGGGCACAATGTGTGAAGTCTATTTCTGGTGTCCCCCACCATGATATTGCTGGAATATTGCTAAAAGCGACGTAAAACTAACTCACTCACTCTAATGCTGAAGAAGTTATCTACATTATAGGAAGCAAGAACAAATACAGATCGTCATAACCTTAAAGCAGACAAGTTACTTATTTCTTCCAAGGAGCAGAGTACACCTTATACGCCAGGAATGTGTCAAAAGACATAAAGGAGCGAATTGGGTGGTCAAAATGTCAGCTCAGAATATGTAACCTGATTTATTGTATCAGAATGTTTAGATTTTGTGGCATCTGTATGGTATGTTAAGAGGCATAAGATTTGCAAAACAACGGTTATTTTTAGTCCCCTTGACCAGACTTTTCTATCTGCATAGTTTTCAGTCTGATCACATTGACAGCCAGTGAACTTTATAAGTTTTGGTGTCAGCCCACACTATGACACTGGACTTCATGAATGTCTCTGATTTACACCTGATGATATGATGAATAAGAATTAAGTGGTCATTTGAGTGCAACATGAATTGATTAGAAGAGAAACAATACCGATTAGTTGTCAGTATGTATCATATCATCACCAGGGTATTGTGACACGTATTGATACATTCATGTAGTGGCATATTAAAAGTTGGGAAGTACAGTAATAGACAAACTATGGAAAACAAAAATACCGTTGTTTAGCAGATATTACACGACTTCTGTTTTCGAGAGTGTGGTGAAGTGATACAAATTCTTGTACCATTCTTCTTGCCAATGGTAAAAGAATCTGTATTGAAATGTCACACTCATGAAATAAAAGAAGTTGTAATCCATAAATCATTGAGTTTTAGTTGTGTAATTCGGCGATTGTGATGTCAATCACTGGATGGTCTGGTTACAGACAGCTGTCTGGACAGTCATTTAGTCCAAGAAATACAATTGTCTTATTTAAAAAATGTATATCTACACAAAAGTCCAAGTCAAACCCAGAATACTCCAGAACAATTCTTGATGTCAGTTCTTGATCACATGAGAGAGAGTAGAATTAATCTGCTTAAACAATGAGCTGACCACCAGCTGGCATGTGCAATGCTACATTCCCAACACATTTGTCAGCCGTTGAAAGCACTGACCTGATTTTTCAAATTGAGCCTTTAATGATGAAATATGTTTAGTACTCTGTGTTTGTAGTGTAGAGCCTGACGGAACATAAGATATATTGTGATAAGCGGAACCGGTCTGGGTCAGAGTAAATGGAGCTGGACAGAAAAATATTACGTGCAGATCATTATCACACTGGAACGATATGTGTCTCTCTAAATGATTGTTACAGATGTGAGTGAGTACTGTTTAAAGACTTTCTTGGCAATATGCCAGCAGTATATGGGGGGATGCTGAAAATGGGGTCATATTGTACCCATTTTGGGATTCAAACCCAGATCTTCAGCATGATGAGAAAATGCTTCAACTAGCAGTCTACCATACTGTTTATCTCAACAGCAGTAGAAAGGCTAGTCAAAAGTCCCTATATGTGTCTTGGAAATCTTTCCACTCCATTGCAAACCCATTGGTCCTGTGGAACTTAAACCGTTGCGTGTTTGGTTTGAGGTTGAGACTAGAGCCAGTTTAACCAGCTGTCAAAACAATAAGGGTGTACTGTTATACCCTAGATGTTCTTTCTATGTTTTGGGAAAAATATTTTTGTCATGACATTATGGCCTGTGATCAGTAATTTGGAGTTTTTGTTGATCGGTTGCTTATCACATTCTACTTGCTTAGTATTCATATATTAGTAAATGCAGGGGTGGAAATAACTATAAAATTGCTGGTGTACTCAGGTACAGTGGCACATGTAAAATCACTTGCCCTGATAATCTTTCCACTAGACCAGCTGTTTTCTTGTTGATTTTTTTAAAGAAACAACATAATTAACATTGGAAAGTCAACTGGACACCGGTACAGTGTGATATATAAATTTGCTTGCCCGACAGAAAAAAACACTGGACTCGGACGTCGGGCAATGGGTTATTTCCACCCCTGAAATGCCATCAGTTTCAGTACTTTCACCATTTTACATGGAAGAAAAATATTTAATGCAATGTCTGACATGGTAACTAAAGTGCGCAGTGAAAATGTGGAACTCAATGTCTTCTCACAGAATGTAGACATGTAAAATACCAGCCTAAAATGAGCTTTGATTTTACCCCTGCAGTTTGACTCGGTTTACCATGCCCTTGACTTCTCTGAGAATATGTTTCCTTGCTCTGTAAATATCTTCCACCCTGAATCCACTGGACCTCTGAAGTTGAATCCTTACAGGGTTTTCCCTCCAAAGTTAACCCCTAAATTTGCTCAAGAGGTCTGAATATGATGTTGATATGGCTGCCATGGAAACCAAGTTGAAATTTTTTATTTATAGACAATCAACCATTCCGCTCAAAATGGAATGACATTTGATATTTGTTGTTGTGACACTCAACACATATGCTCTGTTCTCAAT